TTTTTTTTTTTAAAGACTGTGTCTTGCTATGTTTCCCAGACTGGCCTCAAACTCCTGGGCTTAAATGATCCTCCTGCCTCAGCCCAAAAGTAGATGGGTCTATAGGCTCAGGACACCATGCCCAGATCTATACTTCCTTGTTAGAAAAACAAGTGTAAGTAAATATGTATATGTATTTATAGCTGCACAGGTATTCTCTAAAAATGGGGAAAAAAATAAATAAAGCTAGCTGAGTCGAATTGGTATAACCACAAAGAATTCTTTGACACAAAATTTAATTGTATATCCACAATGAGAAATACAGCATGTTAAGGACAAAATAGCAAAACTATCCAAACCAGTTTTGGGCACTCATACTGGTAAGTAACAACATCAACGCTGCTACTTTGAAACTACTAATTACTACAAAAAAAATAATCTGTTAATGTAGTTATCACTCAATATTTTCAGTGTTAAAATACTCAAACACAGAATGAAATACAGTTTTTTTAAAAAACCACTCTGTTATCCTACATCTGAAGTGGGAGCATCAGTATAATCTCTCGATGCACTTTTCTAGGCTGGAAAGGCTTGGAGAGGAGGACAACTCAGTGGCAGTGAGCATCTCAGCATGCAGATTAAGGCATCTCTGTAACAATGCCCACTAAAATGAATCAGAACTCTTCACAAACTTGGTTGGTTGATTTTAGGTCTGTGGCAGAAAAACAGTAAGAACCTGGAATATTTTATTCTGGAAAGCAAGGAGACTCTCAAAGACTAAAGACCAAAGAGCAGAGCAGACAATCTGAGGAGGTTACCTGCAGTTGGAAAGATACACATCAGAAAAGAGTAACTGGTACTGTGGGTGTAGCTCAGTGGTAGAGCACTTGCCTAGCACAGGTCTGATCCCCAGCAGCACAAAACAAACAACCATAGTGGGCTAACAGACACTGAAGGTGTCCAAATCCACAAGTTTATAATGATATTTGGAAAAAAAATCTCATTGATCACCTTTGGATAATGCTAAAGAATTAACTTATTATTTTGAAAACTAGAAAATAAAATGCAATTTTCAATGTATGTATTGTTCTGGGGATTGAACCCAGGGCCTTCACACTGAGCTACTCCAGTCTTTTTTATTTTGAGATAGGATCTCAATAAGTTGCTAAGTTGCCAAGGCTGGGCTTGAATTTCCAATCCTCCTGCCTCTGCCTCCTAGAGTACAGGGATTTAAAGGTGTGTGCCGTTACAACTGGCAAGATAGATTTATTGATTTATGATTTATTTACATAGCAACTCATAAAATAAAGGCAGAAAAAAAAAGGAAATGCAGCCTACCTACACTGGCTGTGCTAACTGCAGCCACCTGAGCCCACATGTGCTCAGTGTAGACTGCACATGTGACCATTTTCTGGTGGTTCACATGGAGACCCTGGGCACTGGCACCCGCTCTCCTCCTCCTCTGAATCAGGCCCTTCTGCTAGACCCATATAGAAGCAGAGTGCTAAGCAGTGAAGACAGAACATGGTTGGTGAAGGGGACAGGAGGGAAAAGGAGACAGGAGGGAAAAGGAGACAGCTTCCTGCAGACAAGGTGCTTCATGGCAGTCCCAGAAGTGCCGGCATCAGAGGTAGGGCTCCAGGAGGTGAATGTGGCTCCACATGTGCCACTGCTCGGATTGGAGGGTTGGCAGCCACCTAGTTGGGGCAATGAGTAGTTCTACCAGACCTTTTAATAAAGGAGAGAGGTTGACTGAAGCTGTAGAAGCTCTTTGGTCTCTGCAACCTCGATGGAGCACCATGCCAATTGGTGGGGAGGACATCCAGCCCCAGGGATCATAGCCACTGTGGCTAATGCAAGCAGTGAGAGCCAGCCTGCCTGGGGTAGAGGAAGCTGAGGCACAATGTGGGGAGTATGGTGCCCACTGCAGCTAGGGCTGAGAGCTCCCCAGGGTTGGCAGGTGTGGGCTCCTGGTTGTGATCACACTGGCAGGTGATTCTGTGCCATGCCCAGAGCTACACACTTTATGTGCATGTGCTTTTTCACAAGCACTGTACTCTGCAAATTTACTTCTTGAAGTACCTCAGAATGTGATTATGTTTGGAGACAGGGTCTTTAAAGGGGTAATTTAGAAAAAATGAAGCCTGGTATGGTGGCACCCAGTTGTAATCCCAGTGTTCTGGGAGGTTGGGGCAGGAAGATTCCAAATTCAAGCCCAGACTGGGCAATTTAGCAACAAAATTTTTAAAAAGGGCTAGGAATGTATCTCAATCCAAAGGCCCTGGGTTCAATCCCCAGCATCTCTAAAAAAAGAAAAAGAAAAAAAAGGTCATTAGGGTGGGTCCTAATCCAGGATGACCGGAGTCCTCCTAAGAGATCAGGATGAAGACACACAGATGGAACATCATGTGAAGACAAAGGGAGAAGATGCCACCTGAGAGCCAAGGAAGAAACCAGCCCTGCTGACACCTTGATCTTAGACTTCCAGCCCCAGATTTGTGTGAAAATTAATGACTACTTGCTCTGTGGTGCTTTGCTATGGCAGCCCAAGTAACTAATACATACATCATCTTGTCTAATCCTCACCTCTACCCAGTGGCAAGGCAAGGAAATCTGGTTCAGGGAATTTATGTGGCCTGAAAACAGGCTGCCTACTCTGAGGAAAGGGCTGTCAAAGCTCCAGAGCCCACTCACTCTACAGAGCCTGACTGGGCCTAAGGGTGGGACAATAGGAGCACAGGGACTGTAGTTACGACTGAGCAGCCCTACTCCTAAGGGAAACCCCACAGAGCCTGTGACAGCTAGGGACCAGGTTGGGTGTCCAGGGCAGGAATGTGCACAGCTGCAGGAGGGCAGAAGACGGCTTGTGTCAGCACAGCCTTACCTGGTCATACCTGAGGGCCTGCATGATCTGGGGGATGTAGAACAGGATGGCATCCTGCACAAGAGAAAAAAGGACTATGAACCTTAAGGTTAGAACAGCCAACACAATTGGTCTAGAGTGGTGATGGTGAACCTTTTAGAGCTTTCAGTGTTAAACAGCTGGCTGCAGCACATGTGCCATAGGTTTACCACCACTGGTTCAGGGCCCTACTTAGTACACAGTGACAGACACTAGGACCTGTCCCTGCTTCTGCATACTCCATAGGATGCTGCCCTCCTCAGTACACCCCAGCAGGACTAAGAACTGGGAAAGGCCTAAAGGATGGCAACGAAAGTGACCAATGGCTTGAAACATGAGGATGTAAAAGGCAGAAGAAATAAGACTCCCTCAATTACAAGGAGAGGAATCCACCTCAGGGAAATGGGCTGAAGGTTAGAGCAGAGGTCCTGGGCTATAGTGACTGAGAATCCAGAACACTCTACAGACCTTCCCTCCACTGGTCACCATGGGTAGACCCTCAAGAGTTCACTGTTGGAACCAGGTATGATGGCACATGCCTACAATCCCAGCACTCTGGGACACTAAGGCAGGAGGATTGCAAGTTTGAGCCCAGCCTGGGAAACTTAGCAAGACCCTCAAAAATTTTTTTAAAGGGACTGGGTATACAGCTTAGTGTAGAAGCCTTGGATTCAATATCTACTACTCAGAGGAAAAAAATGTACTTGCTGTCGGGTAGGAGGCATAGGTGCCATGGGAAGTTGCTCACTTCGGGGACCAAACGCAAGTCTACTTTCTTATTTAACCCATAATGAAAGCTAAAAACAAGTATGACTAGAAAACACAGCTGAATTAGAACTAGATCTATCTTCTACAACTACTTGAAGAAAAATGAGGAATGAAGACATATTCTAGGATGGACAGGCACAGTTGGGTCCCTCCCAGCTCCCACAACGAAGCTGTGTCTTCTCTCTCCACTGAACAGTGCTACCCAAGGCTCACCGAGGGGAAGGACCGCAGGACTTTCACCCCGTACTGTGCTGTGAGAGGGTGTAGAGGGTATGTGCTGGAGGAGGAGAGGCCCGTGGGGGGATCTGTGGGTGCCCAGCATAGCACATGGCTGAGCTCTGGAGCACCGGCATCAATGGTGTGCCAGGTCACAAGGAACTAGGGAGAAAGAGGGGAGATGAGTGGCTCAGGCCGTCCCTGGGGCCTGGCTGGGGATATCCAGCCCATGGCACGAATTACAAGGATGGACATAAAAAGTGAAAATCACAACCCATTCAGAACTGCAGAAAATGTTTCTCGTGCCCTATGTTATAGTGTAATTTCAATTAGGTTAAAGTACATTAAAATTTTCCTACCATAAGCATAATAAATGCTACATATTAGAAATGGAAAATGCAGGAAGTTAAAATACTTCAGCCCTGAGGTCACCTGGGCTCTATTTCTGCCTGAATTGTGTCCGGGCATCCGGGACTCAGTTCTAGATTTGGTTTGCCCCTAGGCCAGGTGGGGGCTACATTACCTTAATAGCTTCAGGGACATCACTAACAGCTCCAGGGTCCAACCAAACAAGACGGGTCACTTCACTCCCAATGGCTTCTGTGTTCTTGAAACTACAGCACACAGAGGTATGGGCAGAGTGGCCTTAGCAGCAGACATTCCCTCACTGCCAGGGAAGGAGGAGGTCGAGAGGGAAATACTGAACTGGAGGGATTCAGAGCCCTCTCAGTGACGTCTAAATGTTCTCTTACACATTGGTCTGAAAACAAGTGTTTGAAAAAGAATTGAATTAATAGGTCAGCTATGAGGAAATGCCAGAAATTTCTTAAACAGGAATTAACCTATGCTCAGCATTTAAAGGGCTGCTTTATAAAGTCCTTGTCTTTAGAATCCTGCCTTTTACTCCTTTCCAGTTCTGTATCCCCTTACCCTGGCTGTTTACACAGTCCCTCCTCATGTCAGTGTCTTTTTTTCTAGTTTGTTTTTTTTGAGACAAGGACTCGCTATATAGTCCAGGCTGGCCTTGATCTCATTGTGTAGTTCAAGCTGGGCTCAAACTTGCAATGATTCTCCTGCCTCAACCTCTTGAGTGCTGGGATTACAGGCATGTGCCACAACACCTGGTATCAGGTCAATGTTTTAGTCCACAGTCCAAGGCCACAACACACCTCACCTGGTGAAAGGGCAGACATGAGTTTGCAGGTGTTACTGTCCCCAAGCTAATGCAAGGAAGACTTTTCATAAGCACTGTGCTTTGAAACAATAAGAGAATTGCTCTATGGTTCTGCTCCTGAGGGTCAAATAGGCACAGTAGGAAAAAGCAAAGAGGCCAGTTTGGACTTCCAGTGAAGAAATATCTGCTTCAGGTGCATCCACGGGGGTTGAGGGACTGTCTACAGGAACTGTCATGGTGGCCTCTGCAGTCCCTCTAGCTACTATCAGACTAAGAATTTTGTCCCTGTGGAGCCTCCACAGGACAGCTCACAGGACACTTGGCTGCCAGCTATAGCGCAAGTCTCCTCTGAGTAGCCTGTACTGAAAGATAACTTCCAGGAAGAAATCCAAACCCTCAGCCTGGTTCTGCAGCCTGTCTCCCTGGAGTAGTAACATTCATGAATTGATTGTGGCCCTAAATTCACTCTGATATTACTTCCTCAGGACTCTGACAAGAGCAAAAGGGTCACTATAATCTCTGCAGTGAGTGAGTGTCTTGGTTAGAAGACTGGTCTGTCTGATGACTTCCCAAATGCCTCAGTGGGGGCCACATTATGCTCCTCAGCAAATAGGACCCAACCAGCAGGGCCCCACACTAGACCTCTAAGGAGGAAGGAGATGCTATAACCAGGCAGAAGCTCACTGCCTCCATGCAGTCTGGAAGGATGTCCCTGACAAGCTCATCCTGATCATTGAATGCAAATTCATTCTAGTATTCCCAAAGACCCCCACCAGGGTGCAAGTGCACCCGTGGACTCCACAGACCCCCCACCTGGAAGTGAACTGGCCTGCAGACTCTGTCATCGTACCTGAGATGGGAAGAGTTCCTAAGCTATGCCCAGGGTCAGCGTCAGATTGTCTGAAAGCTGAAGGAGAGAATTCTTGAGACTAGGTTTGTTTGGGTTTTGAGTACAAGGGAAAAGAGGGGAATTTGGTGGGGCTGCCTGCATTCAGACTGCACCTAAGGCAAGAAGGAAACTGTGTGAACACTCAGGCTTTTCGGCATAGTGATCACACGTGAATTGCATGTACATTCTCTTGCTGGATTATTTGATCTGAGTTCCTGTTGGGTAGTTTTTGGTTTTTGGGTTTTTTGTTTCTCTGCTTAGTTGGTGTCTTCTATATCTCCTTTCTGCAACTCAAGCTTCCATAGCAATACTATTTTATTTTTTCCTTCTTTCTCCCACTTTCTAAATTCCTCAAGTTTTTAGTTCAGCATATTCTGTCCCCTCTCAGTTACTCCTATATTCCCTCGTATTAATCTTCTGTCCTCTCTATTCTATTCCTTTTGGTCTTTCTTATCTTACCAGCCCCTCATCTCCTTGTACTTCTTTTTCACTGTACAGGTGCACAAATACACCAACAGGTTCAGACAACCTCATAGCTTTCCTGAATCCCAAAGTACACCATCCTCCTGCTATAGAGCATTCTCATTCCCACAAATATCTTCTTTTTTATGCTTTTAATATTTTATCTTCTCTTTGCATTTATAACATAATTCACTTCAACAATCACAGAATCATTTTCTTCCAATGCCACAAACTGTATTACAAATGAAAGCTGGTATTGCTGCTTATCAAAATATACAAGACACCACCACCCCCAGTGCAGAGGAGGTGAACCTTCCGGGCTGCCATACCACCACCCCAAGCGCCAAGGAAGCAAGCCATGCAGGTGCCAGCAACACACATCCTCCCCACCCCTGAAATGAGAAGACACATAAACAAGTCTCAAAACTAGACTTCCAGATCACCTAAAGCAACCCCAAAGGGAAACAAGATGGAATAATCTGATACTCAACCACCTGGACTCCATGAACTGGCAACAAAAGGGATTTGGAAAAAATGAAATCAGAAATAATTTCTCAGATATCAGCAGAGATTGTGTCCATAGTGCATGACATGATGAATAAATCTAGAGAGGACACAGATAAAAAAAAAATAGAGTAGCTGAGGAACATGATGCAATTCCAACACAGGAAACAAATGGAATCCAAAAACTAGATGCAAACAAATAGAGAACTGTTTTCCATCCTTTTACTTTCAGTCTAAGGATTTCCTTTTGAGTTAGGTGTGTTTCTTGTATACAGCATATTGTTGGGTTTTGCTTCTTAATCCATTCTGCCAGTCTATTTCTTTTGATTGGTGAATTGAGGCCATTAACATTGATAGTTATAATTGACAGATATTGACTCATCCTTGTCATGATG